GTTGGGGTGTTTATCAGTCAGATCGCCGCTGCCCTCTACATTTCATCACGTGTTTGCACGGCCGTTGATATTTTTGCGACGTGACATTTGAAATGACACTCGACGCGAACCTGGCGGCGGGCCGGGCCGGGCCGGGCCGCGGGCGGGGCTCCTCCGCAACAGAGAGCGTATTGATCAGGCTCTGGGAGTGTCGACCTTCACCCGGGCGGGCCGCGGCGGCGCGCGGTGGCGGGCGGGGCGCTGCTGGCGGCCAGGCACAGCCAGCAGCAGCAGCACCAGCAGCAGCAGGAGAAGGGTTCCTCTCCCCACACTGAGGCTGCTATCTGGGCTAAAGGCGACCCATAATGCGATAACAAGAGTGATGACTCGCGTCGTGCTGGGCGGGGCGGGGCGTCTGCAGCCACCGGCGGGCCGTCACGATCAGCTCAAGGGTAAAGCAGTAAAACAGGCGATCATCGATTTAGGCTCAGCGACGGGGAGAGAGAGAGAGAAAGAGAGATCTCGGAGAGATGGCCGCCGCAACTGCACCACTCGCTACCACCAAAACCATCCAACCACCCGAGGGAAACCGACGACGGCGCGAGGTCAGTTATGCATTCGTAATCAATGTTTAATTGAAAGCGAACCCCACGGTATATCCCACGAGATCTTGATTGGAGATACGGCACCAGTAGCGGCCGCTGGCGAGGAGTTCGATCGGCCCGGCCACCGTCGGTGAGTCATCCATATCCTGCGCGGCACGTTTCCCACAGCAGCGGCGGCTCATCGGACGACTCGACTCACTGAGGGTAAATAAGCCCGCGGGTAAACATTCACTGAACCTCGCGCCGAGATGCGCCCAGTACGCTGTCTGTAACCGCGCCGAGATGCGCCCGATGCGCTGCAACCACTGGAAGTAAGTGCGCCCGTCCCAGCACGCCATACGGGCCCGCCGCGGAGGAGACGGGCGGAGACGCGGCACGTCCTCAACAGCCTCGACCCGGCCGACAAATTAACGCTATTCACACAAGCAGAGCAGAGAGCTCGCCGGGGGAAAGGCGAGGCTGCTCCGCGCTCTGTGTAATTGCACACGCGGAATAATAATTTTCGCACGCAGAGGTCCTGTCCTTCCCCGCGTCGGCGCCTCGCGGAAGAGCAGCGCGGCGGCGGTGGCGGCGCCAGGGCGTCAGAAGCACCAGGGTGGGTGGGCTTTGTGGAGCAGAAATCGACAGGGAACAGACAGAATGCATGTCATTACTTCAATCATTTCCATTTCCCATCAGCCGTGGAAGGGGTAGGTGGGAGTCCGGAGCGCCCTGATTGTATTAATCACATCAGGAGAAATGACTAATATTGAATGAGGGACAACGGCTCCTCGGAACGAGGGATGGTCCCATCCCGACGAACTTCCGGCAAGTTTTGTTTATCGGCGGCAATACATGGAATAATGTGTGCCGTCACACACAAGCATCTCATAGTCTGCTCTGGCAAGGCGGGGGCGGGGCAAGTGCGCGAATCGTGAGAAGCAACGCGCGGCAACGCCCGTCATCGGCCGCGGGCGACACTGATAAGCATCGCGTTGCCACCCCGCCCCGCC